TAAAGTTTTAAGGAAGTCAGTTTAGATATGCAAGCTACTCTCTTTAATTTTTGTAGGTCAATAGAGAGTGGGTTGGTGCCTGAGGATTGGAGAGTTTCTTATGTTACGCCTATTTTTAAAGATACTTATTTAGAGTTGCCCTGGAAATTATAAGCCATTTTGTCTTGCTTCTGTAGAAGGAAAAATTGAGTCTGATAAAAGAAGCTTTACAAAATTATTTAGTGAAATATTATATCATAAGTGAAAGCCAATATAGCTTTAGCAAAAGGAAATCTTGTCTTACCAGTCTGTTACTTTTATTTTTTTGTTATCGCATGCAGAAAATGGTGTGAAATGATCAGAAAGCTTTTGTCACACAAGATTAAGTAAGGCAAAGGTTGGGTAAAGGCTAGTCATTATGGTGTGGTTAGATTGAAAAAAGCAAAAGGTATTTGTTATTCAGTTCTAGTCAGACTAAACCAGTGTTTCTCAAACAGTGGGTTGTGAGCAGGTTTCTAGAAGGGCCACAAGCTGTCTGCACTAAGTCAATGTTTTTTCTAGTTTGTGAGGTGTCTGAGAGGTGCACATATCACTTTTGTTATGAACTATGAGAAACTGCACCAGGAGACATCAAGAATATTTTCATCCTTATGGAGATAATGGGGGTCACAATGACCAAACCCCAGATGCAGGGGTCATCTGGCAAATCTGGCTGAGAAACACTGGACTAGACCCTTGTTACTAATGGAGTACCTCAAGGGTCAATACTTGAGCTTTTGCCTTTTTCCTCATTACATTAATGACATTGATAGGGGCATATTAGTAAAGTCTGCTGATGTCATTAAATAAACTCTTGGGTGAAACAGTCTGTATTGAGGATATTGAATGTTTAGAAAATGATATAAATCAGTTGGACATATATTTGGAAAATAGTCTTCAACTATACTGTGTGGAAGATAATTCATTTGGGTTACCATAACTTGAATCATAAATTTAAACCTTTTTTGGCTAGTATGCACTTTTCAGGTGTCAAAAGCACACCTATATATTAATTCCAGCTCTATTACAACAATTATGTACTCAAAGTAATTTTATATCTTGTTATTTTGTAACACTTATTTAATGTAATTTCACAAAAACAAACGAAAAAAAAAGTTCAAATTTACACTTCCGCACAGTTTCGAGGAGTCTTGCCTGTAAGAACAGGCTTGTTGATTTATTTATTTACTAGCATTGTAAGTCTGTAGACATACCGCTGTGCCACTGGGGGCTATTGAGTTTGTTAAAAATTTCGTGAAATTAGTTAAGTACTTCTACTGTGAGATATTGGTGACACCCCCACTCCCCAGGTCTGGAAATGGTCAATGTAGCTAGGAATCAAATTAGTAGCATGACTCACGAGAATAATCTTGGCATATTGATAGATAAAACACTCCAAACATCAAAGTATTACTTTATAGCTTTTAGTAAAACTAGACATAACTTGTGTATCCACAAAGTTTCTTTGGTTCTTAACATTTTGTCACTTGAAGCACTTCCCAGAATGCTCAAATCTTGGCCAGTAGGAAGAAGTTTTGTGAATTATACCAAAGAATGACTGACTAATTATATGGAATATTTTGTATCAGGTTGTCAAGAAATTATTGTCATGTTTTGGAACACTTTCATTAACCACCACCAAAAAATGTACATCATGTATAATAGTTAAATGAACTGCCTAAACATCATGTTAATGTAGCATGTATAATGTGTAAAATTTAGTATACTCTAATCCCTTATAGTGATGGCACATGATGAAACATACATTCGACATGCAATGCTGTTTGAATACAAGCAGCCACAAAGAATATCAGAGAAGTTGTGGAAACGTTTTGAATGTTTGTAAGTGTCGATGGTTCGGCAAATTTCGTTCAGGTGACTTTAGCCATAAAAACTGTGATGGTAGGTGCTGACATGTCGGAATTGATATTGATGCTCTGAAGTCTTGTTGAGTCTAACCCAAGGCCAACACACTCGTGAAATGGCCCTGAAATTGCATGTCTCTCATGAAACAGTACATAAACATCTAAGGAATATGGGAAAACTCCTTAAAGAAGGTGTTTGATTGCCTCACGAACTCTCCAATGATCATCGTTTCCAACGTATGAATGTTGCTTTGTCTCTTCTGGCACGTAATGCATGTGAACCATTTTTGGACAGAATTGTCACCGGTGATGAAAAATGGATTCTCTATGAGAATATTAAATGCCAAAAACAATGACTCAGTCCCAGATAAAAACCACTTCTGACTCCATCTGCAGAAAGTGATGCATTGCCTTTGGTTGGATGTCAAAGGAGTAATTCATTTTAAACTCCTCAATCCACAGCAAAATGTCAATGCAGAGATCTATAATCAGCAACTGGAACATTTAAATGAAGCCTTTCATCAGAAATGCCCTTCGCTCGTCAGTAGGAAAGGTGTTCTTCTCCACGACAATGCATGTCCACATGTGGCACGTGAGATGCAAAACAAAGTTACAGAGTTGGGTGGGAAGTTCTCCCCCCACCCACCATATTCTCCTGATATGGCACTATCAGATTACCATCTGTTTTATTCGCTGCTACACCATCTTAATGGGAAAACATATGCAAATGTGGAAGGTGTTAACAAGGACATCAACATTTTTTTTTGCTTCAAAGCCAAGTGATTTCTTTAATCAGGGCATAAACAACCTGATTGTGAGATGGAAAAGCATCATCGATAAGAATAGAGACTATTTCATTTAATAAATATTTTGTTTTGATATGCAAGTTGTTTGGGTTTTTTCGTTTAAAAAAAGCAACATTAGACCCAATATGTGCTCTTTAATCTTTGAATTCAATGAACTGTAGAGCCCACATAGTTATGATTACACCGTGGTCTTGTAAATTTATATATGATGTAAGAGTGCTGCGTTTTCTGAACACTATCTTTAAATTTAAAGTAATTACTTAAATGAAATATTGGCTTAAAAACAATTTTGAATTAAATTTGAGGATAAATTTTACAATTTAAAACAGTTTTAATATTTTTCTCTAATTCTAAAGCGTATTTTCCTGTGTCCATCAAAACACAATAAACTATCCATTTAGTTGTTGAACATTTGTTAATTTTATAGTTTCACAAAACCTCTAAGTACTTCTTAAGAGTGTTACAAAACAAAAAGGAAAACTATTTCTTTGTAAGAATTTCTCTGCCCTACCACACCTTTTCATGAAACCTAGAAAAAAAAACTTGCTATTTCGTAAGCTTGATGTATTAAATTGTGAATTATTGTATTTTATGACATGTCATGTAATATTCCATTGTACATTTTATGTATTTATACATAAATATTGTGAAAATAACTCACAGGATTTTCCTTGTAGCACACAAGAAACTATAGAATTTTTTTTATACATAGAATATTCATGTATCCCTGAAAAAAAAGCCTCTTAAAAATCATCCTGCATCTAATATGTGAAGTTAAAGAAAATGGATCTCTCAGTTTTGTGCCTCTAAGCTAAATTCTAACTAGTCTTTCTCTAGACAACTGTAGATTAAAATATAAAAATTATTCTATACAAAAATATATGATTAGGCTTATAATTGAGGAAAAAAATTTGCTAAATATATGAGTGGATTTATAATAGATAATAATAATCCCAGATGTTCAGCATCAGTATAGCTGACCAATTCACCTGGTTCCTCAGTGCTCAACAGTAAGTATTTCTGAATTCTCATGAACACTGCTGGCTACTACAGTTCCTACTGAGGTTTAAAAGATTATTCAGAAAATCAATATAATAAAGACCTCTGATTTTTTTTTATGCTATATTCTGGAGATAATAGGATGAGAGAACAAGACACCTTGGTCTTTTTTCCTTACTGCCACGTCAGGCCAGTACAGTTTGCTCGCTGGGTACACTGATATCCACAATGAACATTAACAGAAGTATGCTTGTCATTTGAAAAATAATCATTCAAGGACAGAAAAATTCTTTGATACACTCAAATGTTTTTTCCTAAACATTCTTTGCTAAAATATGGGTGCGTTTTATATGCTGTAAATATGGTAAATTATTTTTAAACTATAGGGGAAAAATAACTATCAAAATGCAAATATAAACCAGTAAATAGTGATTTATGGTAACTCTTATTTTAAACAATTTCCCTAAATTTACTATATTGTTATTCAAAAATGATACAGTACATACAGTGTGTTCTTCAACAGTAAATTTAATAGTAACACATTGACTACTTAAATAGTTTTAAATTCATATACATCAGATTTATGTTTAAAAACAGCAAAAATGTCATCTACATATCTTTCATAATATAATGGTTTTAAACTTTTCAGAACAATTGTCTAACCAATTTTTCTCTTAGTAACTTAAATACAGATAACATGGTGCAACCCTTGATCTTATAAAAAGTCCATCTATTTATAATGTTAATCATCAAAAAAATTTACTCTTTGGTCACAATTTCTAACAATTTAGTAAAAACTAGTTTTGTTATAACCCCAATAACATCTGAAGTTTGGAAAATAAATTACCACTTAATTGCTTCATTAAAAAGTACATTTGTGTATAATGACTCGGTGTACAAATTAGCAGTGTAACAAAGTTCAACAAAAATTTATTTACAAGCATCGCATCTTGAAACTGTTCTTTTCTCAATTTTTTATTACAAATGACTTTTAAAAAACACTAGAAAATAGATTCTAGTTTATGAGTAAAGGTACCTATGCTTGATACAGTCAGTCTTACAGAACAGTTTGTTTTGTGTACTGTAGATAATCCATAGAATATTCCATAATATTAACTGGTCTGATTTTATTACAAATTATTTCAGGTATTAATCCTTCTCTTTTTAATTTCTAAAAGACAATTTTGTAAACATCTCTCTTAAAAGCTGTAGTATTGGATTTCAGTTTCCTAAATATATTATTACCTGATAAAGATAATGATACAGTAAATCTGAAGAAAAAATATTATACAGAAAAAGCTTTTCCCTATAGGATCACCTGCTACTAATTCCGTAGCTGCTGCCTCTCGAATTGAGCAAGCCTTATCAGAAGTGGCCTCATCTATAAGTGGCTTTCATCCTCGTCCAGGACCCCAATCTGTTTGGATTTTGCAGCTTCACATCTGGTTACTTATAGCTGAAGTATATCTTCATTTAGGTCAAGTGTCAGAAGCTGAAGCTTGTGTCCATGAAGCCTCATCTATTTTCCCATTATCTCATCAGCTGATGGTGATGGTTAGTATTTGATTATTTCAGATTGGATTATAACTTGAAGTACACCTAACCTCTTGATTTTTGTAAAATGAATATTTTATAATGTGTGGAATGTTTTGTTATTTCTTACAGAAAGGACTGATTCATGAACATAAAGGAGAATTTTATGAAGCCAAAACCTTCTTCCAAAATGCCATTGCTGTGAATCCTCTTCATGTAAAAGCCATGCAGCATTTGGTAAGTTCTGAGATTAAATTTTTGAGAACTTTGTTAATACAAAGGTTGTTGTGAATGAAAGTGGAACCGTTGTAAGTGCTGATTGTTTTATATTTGGAAGAAATTGCCATATTAATATGCTTTCCGATACAATATCTTACCTCCACTTCAAATAACAGCTTTTTTTTTTTACTTGTACTGCCCTCTATATGCACAACTTTTTGCTTGCCACTAACTTTGGTACTCCCACCTACCCTCACATGTTTTTACATTAGGCAGCTGAATAACTGCATGCAAATGAGCATGCAACAACCCTCCACTAATAGGAGTGTGACACAACTCCTAGCACAACTGACTCCTTCTATGCAGCTCAGTTCAACTTCACTTCTCGATTGGCACTCGTGATGTTACTACTACGGGTCCTACAGCAATTACAGTTACTTCATCTACAGTGGCTTGGGGTCTGCAGTTATCAGCAGAAGATGTTACAGCCTTGGTTTGTTAGGAGTTGACTACTTTCATGAGGCTTTTGATTTGCCTGAAGATTATCCTGTCATGCCTTGTTCAGGTGTACCTAAACAAGAGGATGATGATTTTAACAGCCTGTTTCATCTCCTATTTTATGCTACACAGTCACATTTAGCTCCAGTAGATGTGCCCAGTCCTCCTTCACCTTTCCTGGAGTTGATCAATCAGTTTTGTTACATTTTGTCCTTGTCTCACATTTCCTTTGATTCATCTCCTTCCCTTTTAAGTGGGACAATATGTTGTTTCCCACCTCGCTAGTTATTGGAATTCATTCCAATAGGTTTGTGAACCAATTACATTTTGGGGTCTGTATGCCTTGACCTCTACGTAATATGGAAGCCCATGCTTTGGCTTGCCAGCAGTCTGAGTTTCCTTTTTTGGACTTGCAGTAGTTGGGTTCTGTTCTACCTTGGTGGGGTTCAGATCCCAATACTTCAGTCACGTTTTCCCAACCTCAACTCTCCCATATCTGCCTAACCTTATCCTCCTTCCTTTGTTCCCTTTCCTCCATTCACCTTTTATCTGAGGCCCTTCATAGTTACCCTGGGGGGTTTTCAATGGAGACTCATGCCCTGATGTTTCCACTCTGGCATGATTGACCTCTTCCACCCTTTCCCTCCAAAAATGGCCTCTCTGTTGTTGGGATCTTTTGGGTCAGGACATCTTTTCGTCCTGTGTCTATTTACCCCAACCTTCTTACAGTTGTATTTGGGGATCTTCCTGACTCATTAGAATCCAGAGTTGAGTCTGCCTATATGCACACCTTACTTTCCTCATTGTATTCCCGTTTGTCTCAATCTCCTCCTGAGCATTTTTCTGTGTCTTTTTCCCACTCCTTCATTTCCTTCACCAGTTTCTGATGTCAACTGACAGTTTTTCATCAATAACTTCACCCCTAGTGGTACAGATTTGGTGGAGGCCAGGCTTTTGCATTTTGCCACTGTGTGAGAGTCTTTGACCACAGACCCTGGGGTTCTGCAGGTTCTCTCTGAAGGGATCATTTTTCGTTTTTCTTCCTCTTCTCCCCTCATCCCATCTCCTTCACATCTCCTTGAGGATCCCATTTCAGGCAGCATCTGTCCAAGTTGGTTGTTGACCTTCTTCAAAAGGGCACAGTGGAACAGGTGGATATTTCTCAGCCACGTTTCAAATCCCATTTGTACATTGTTTCCAAGAAAACCTGGGACTGGTATCCAATCATCGATCTTTTTTCCTTGATTCAACATGGAGTCATACCTATTTCTTTGATGGGTTTTCACTCCTGGTCTGTAAATGATGAATGTAGATGTCTGGGATGCTTACCCCCATTCCTATCTCTCCAGTATTTTCTTCATTTTGGCCATCAGAGTTGTATCTACCAGTTCTGGGCTCACTACAAGTCAAGGCCTTTGCCCATCTGTACTCCAGGGGCCTTCATTTCTACCATTACATGGATGCCTAGCTGCTTCTAGCTCCTTCACATGCCACCTCTTCTCTTCACACTCAGTTTATTCTCCAAGACACTGCATAGGTAGGTTGGCTGGTCAAATTGAAGAAGTGCTTCCTCTCCCCCACTCAGTACCTGGTTCATCTGTTGGTATTTTTCAATTTTCGTCTCAGCTGGTCCAACCTTCTCCCCTACACTTGTGATCTGTGGAGCTTCTGTTTTGGATTGTTTGCTACTCTCCTTCTCCAACTGTGCAAGATATTTTATCACCTTTGGGGATGTAAGCTTCTTTGGAAGCCGTCAGTTGAGCCCATATGCAACCTCTTCAGTGTGCTTTACAAGATCAGTGGAACATTGTTTGGGATCCTTTAGACACCTGTATCTATCTCCCTCCTTCCCTGAATATGGACTTTACCTGGTGGTTAAACAGAGATAGTACCACAGTGGATGTTCTTCTTCCTTTCTGGAGGTGCATTTCTTCACAGATGCTTCTCTTTCAGGTTGGGGTACATATCTGGACATGCAGGAGATTTTGGGATGTTGATCTGTAGCAGAGTCATCTCTGCATATCAATATCTTAGAGCTTCATACTGTTCATCAGGCTTTAGTTCATTTCATTCTGTTTCTCTGAAATAGGTTGGTTATGATCCACTTTGACAACTCCATGGTTGTCTTGTACATCACTTGGCAAGGGGACATTCAGTCAAAGTCTCTTTGTTTCCACATGTTGGACTTCCTGTTTTGGACCAACAGCCATCACATTCATTTAATGGCATGTCATATATCAGGTGTTTCAAAACTGGTCGTGGATCATTTATTGCATCCTGTAAAGATTCTCCCCATGGAGTGGTCTATCGACCCTCAGTTGTTTCAGTTTGCTGTGTTCATAGTGAGGTACTCCAGAATTGAAGGTATTGGCCACCCACCTGAATTTCCAGTTTCCCAAGTTTTGGTCTCCTATTTTTCATCCTCTAGCTGTACCTGTTGATGCCTTCAGTCAAGATTGGGGGGAACCATCACCTTTATACATATCGTCCCATTTGTCTTCTTCCTCTTGTCCTCACTGTCATACAAGCAACTCCGTGTCGAGTACTTTTGGTGGGTCCACTTTGGATTCTGTAGTTTACTGATTAAGAGAAACTGTGATATTTATCAATATTATTGGCCTTGCTTGTTTCACTATCTCATCAGCTTTCAGCATTTAAAACTGGAACATTAACAAAATTATTTTAAATATGTAGATGTTAAAACTGATGAGGTTATAACTGTAATTAATTTTAAAACTCCAACAACAGCTGCTTTTAAGGTTCATAAAAGTTCAGGCTACCCCATGCATTTTAGTCAGTCTAATTATATTGATATAAAATATTTCACATTTAGTTGTACTAGTTTGTTCTATATAACATGATTCTAAAACTTTATTTCTAAATTTTTCATTGATAAAAGCTTGTTAGAATTTTATTTATAAATCAGTAGTTATGCAAATATTTTGACCATGCTATAGTTCAATTTGAGCATTGACAGAGTGACTGATGCAGAAAAATTGAAGACTTTCCTTAGTTTCTATAATACATTTCTGTTCTGAATTGTTAGAACAAGATTTTAAAAAATTATCTATTTTTTTCCTGTTGAAAACTGCTTTCAGTACTACCTTAGATATACTTTTGACAACTGACCCTATACAAATTCAACAGTTATTCATACCAATTTTTCTTGCTAACACACACTAAAAGTTCTAAAAATAAAGTGTTCTTATTCAATAAATAATGAATTTTAAATATTCTTTAACAATTCAAACCAATCTGCAAGCAGTAAGCCTAACTTTAAAATTTTAATTAGTTTGAGAATCATTTGTAATTCCTAGAACATTTACCAGTTTTGTAATAAAATTGTCTACTTTAGTAGTTTATCTTTCTTTTCTTATGAGTTCCTTTTTTATAATTATTTAGCTGAATAAGAAATTACATAATTTTGTAGGGGCTGGTATATCATCGATTAGGAAGTTGTCATTTGGCAGAAAAAACCTTACGAGAAGCTGTGACTATAGACCCAGTGTCACATCAATCATGGTATGTATTGCTATTATAGTTCATGTGTAACATCGCATGTCACATCAGTCATGGTACATATTGTTACTGCAGATCCAATGTAACATCAATCATGGTACATATTGTTACTACAGGCCCACTATAACATCAATCATGGTATATATATTGCTACTACAAGCCCACAAAAACATCAGTCATGGTACGTATTGTTACTACATACCCAATATAACATCAGTCATGGTACGTATTGTTACTACATACCCAATATAACATCAGTCATGGTACGTATTGTTACTACATACCCAATATAACATCAGTCATGGTACACATTGTTATTACGGACCCAATATAACATCAATCATGGTACATATTGTTACTACATACCCAATATAACATCAATCATGGTACATATTGTTACTACAGACCCAGTATCATATCAGTCTTACAATCTCACAAGTTTTGGACTCAGCTAAAGTTAATCTTCAGGTAAAACAAACCTTGAAAGTGATCCCACCATAACCAGAGAAAGTAGATTATAGAGGTTTTTAGAGATAACCTATTGACAAAAGATGACTATTGTAAGAAAAGACCTTCTGGATGCCATCCTGGTATATTTGTATGGGAGTATAAAAATTTGTAAAGAAGATGATCCAGTCAGACCTATGTGTCAAATATAGGTACTTATAATCATGAATTAATGGGTTTTTTAGTGGAATTTTTGGATCAGTTTACTCAAAACAAGTATAAAATGCTCATTATAAAACTATTTATGGTTACTTGTTACTAAAGGCATAATGTAGTATAAGACATGGTACGTGATTTTATTACAGGCTTATTGTAATATAATTCATGATTACATGATATTACTACAGATTCAGTGTAGCATCAGTAATGATGTGTATTGTTACTATAAATCCTTGTGTAACATCAGGCATGGTACATGTTGCCACTACAGACTGTAGCAGATCCATCATGTGAGATGTTTTTGATATAAATCCTCAAACTTCTTACATATTATTGCTACAGACTCCATAGTACATCATCACATGAAACATTGATGTATATTCTTACTTGACATCAGACATGGTCCAAATTATTACTACAGATTCCATACCACTTCATCACATGAAATATTGTTGATGTAGATTCTTACTTGACATTAGACATGGTCCATATTATTACTACAGACTCCATAGCACATCGTCACATGAAACATTGGTGTAGATTCTTGCTTGACATCAGACATGGTCCATATTATTACTACAGACTCCATAGCACATCATCACATGAAACATTGATGTAGATTCTTACTTGACATCAGACATGGTCCATATTATTACTACAGACTCCATAGCATATCATCACATGAAACATTGATGTAAATTCTTGCTTGACATCAGACATGGTCCATATTATTACTACAGACTCTATAGCACTTCATCACATGAAATGTTGTTAATGTAGATTCTCACATGACATCAGACATGATATGTGTTGCCACAACAGATTCTGCAGCACATCCATCATGTGAAAATTGTTGATCCTTAGTTGACATTGAGTATGCTGTGTATTACTACTACAAACCACATTGCACATCTATTATGTGACATATTGTTGATATAAACCCAACCCTCATTCCACCTCGAGCATAGTATGTGTACGATAATTTTACTGTGGACCCTTTTGTCACCAACCTAGCATAAAAAGAGATGCCAAACTGCTATTTTCATAAATCTTTCTAATTCTTAACCCTAGATTATAATATTATGATCACATCCTTTAAATTTAGATTTTGTTATTTTTTTATGTTTTGTGGGTTTGGTTTAACATTTAACATTGGTAAAGTTGTTATGGGAGAGAAATGAAACACTTACAACATCAAGTTCATAATCATTTAAGCTTTTCTACTTCTGTAGCTGTACTCAAACACTTTTTAATACTAACAAAATATCAGCTAGTCAGAAATTATATTGATAGTTAATCCAGTCAGAAGCTGGGACAGTCACAGGAGTTTCATTGGAAAGATACTTAAACAAAAGTCATCTAGCTAGGAAAGTATATCTGAAAAAAACACCATGGTATGATTTCAGTATCAAGATGGTACCTTCACAACAAAGAAATAGAGGAAAAAACGTGTCACAGGTACGTTTATTGTTGTACAAAACCCATAAAGTAAAGTTGAAAATAAGATCAATTACAACAATTTTGTTATTAGAAGAAATTCCATCTTGAGAAAGCACTCTACTATATTGGAACATCCTGATACCAAAATATCTCAAAAACAAGGAAAATTACAAAAGAATATATGTCATGTAAGTGTATTATTAAAACAATACTTGTAAAGTTAACTAAAGGTGAAAATAACAAAAAAACATTAATCACAACAACAATTACAAGTGGTGTCCTGATATGGAACTTTTGTCGAGCATTGGTATTGCAGAAATATAAGTTTGATTATACTGCAAACTAGCCATGCATTAAATCATCCAAAATAAGTGAAAACTGTGGCTTTTGTACACTTCACTCTTCACATTTCAACATTGCTTATGGCCAGAAAGAAAGTGACTGTATTAATTAAATATTCCAATTTTTCTGCTCAAATTCTAATTTTTTAGGCTTGCATAACTATTTTACTATTCAGGATTGCATCTCTGCACAAAGTTTTACTTAAAATGTTTAGCAATAATGGAGTACACTTGTTCATTATAACCTAATTAAACAGAATGCACACACCTAGCAACAGTAAATGTACTTATTCTATAGCACATAACTAAATATTCAGTTTTTATTAACAGAATACAGACATCTAGCAGCAGTAAAATACTTATTTTATAGCATGTTAACTAAATATTTTGTTGGTTAACATAATGCAGACATCTAAAAGCTGTAGAAATACTTGTTCTATAGCATGTAACAAAATGCAGACACAGGTGAAAACATAATTTCCATCCACCTTTGGTGGCAGAGGGAAAAATAAATGTTCTATAGCATGTAATTAGTTATTCAGTTGGGTAACAGAATGCAAACATCTATAAGCAGTACAAATAATTGTTCTGCAGCAAGTACTAAATATTCAGTTCAGTAACAGAATACAGACCTCTAGCAGCAGTAAAAATTATAGTTCTAAAGCACGTAACTAAAGTGTCTGTAACCATTTTGTGATAGCCAGGAATATATATTTAGTTAAAGAATTACTGTACTTGTAAGACAGTGTGTATAACTGTACATTCAAGGTCAGTATGTAACTACGCATGTAAGGTCAGTCTATATAATTGTACATTCAAGGTCAGTATACAACTACACATGTAAAGCAATGTATATATTACTGTACATTCAAGGTCAGTATATAAGTATACATGTAGGTCAAAAGTCAATGTATATAACTACATTGAAGGTCAGTATATGTAATTGTTCATATATATATATATGTGTTCATCCATTACATATGGAGATGACAGATGTTTTACATCTTTGGGTTTTGGATGTACCTGTGAATGTCCAATTCTTGCACAAAACCTACTTCCATGCTATGCCCAGGAGAATTCTGGGTTTGGGGCAACTGCCTGTAAATCTTGTTGATGAGACTTACGAAGATGCTGCTTGGTTTTTGTATCCCTGATGTGGCAAAATTCAATGGCTGATGCTCCACTGTGAACTAGCATTTGCCAAGGCTTGCAGTCTTGAGCTACCAGTTTCTAATTGTCAACATTAATGCTACGGAGCTTCATGTTAGACTTTGAGCACTATTTGTATCTCTTATGTTGCCTACCTTGTGATTGTTTACCTTTAAAAAGTTCTCTGTAAAATATCTTCTTTGGAAGAAGTGCTTCTGATATTCTGACTACATGACCTGACTATCTTAGTTGTGTTTGCATGACCATGGCACTAACACTTGACATCCTTGCCTGTTGTCAGACCTCCGTATAAGGAACTGTCTTGCCAGTTTATTCTCATCAGTCATGTGAGACAGTTGAGATGAAAATGTAAGGTTACTGTGTATAATGTCACATTCAAGGTCAGTATATATAATTTGATGTTTTTGTAATACATTTTTCACTGTCTCAGTTTGGTTTTGCCTCTTGTTTTTGATTTTTAACACATTTTTAAACCATGTATTCATATTATTTATCAACAGGTACAATATGGGTCAAGTACTGCAGGAGATGGGACAGTTGGATATGGCCGGTGACTGTCTTGCAACTGCTATTGAATTAGAGGCTACTAGTCCTATTTTGCCATTCTCTGTTGTCCCTCACACCCTCGAATAAAATTTTATGCTGTAACCAGTTTATGACAATTTGTGTATTATGGCTAATATTATATACATATTTTATATTTAGTTCCTACAGAAATTATTATTGTTATTGAGATTACAAGAACTGAAACCTGAATTTATATTTAGGTTCTAATGACACAAAGTCAAATTGAAACAAAATTGATTTATTTAACCCTTTCTAGCCTGGTGGTAATATGTTGCTGTTTCTGCATTTGTATTTATAAAAATTCGTAATTCATGTCACTATATCTGAAAAGCATACAATTGAAACAAAAGCATGAAAACCTTTGCACTTTTTATTTTGATTTATGATGACATACAACCCATTATTTTACTGAACTGTATACTACACCATTATGCAATAAGCCTGTAATCATTGACCTGAAAGCCAGATTTCACACGTAACCATATCTTATTATCAGTAATACAGCAAATAGGCCTATTGATATTTTATGTGAAGCACATTTTTTTGAAAGAAGTTTTGCAATGAAATATATATTGTTTAAAATGAACATAAATACTGTTTATTTAACTATATCACTACATTTTATTTATAAAATATTACCTCTGTATTTCTTTCAAAACTTGTATAAAGATGTTTTAAAAAGACCTCCCATTAGTCTCTTATCTTGTGCAGTAAAGAAAAAAAAGGAACTGCCAAAGTAATTACTTTAAGATAAACAAGTTGGGGAACCATGTAAATTAATCTATTTCCTTTATGTAGCATACAAAAAAAACATTAATTTAGTTTAATTCTTTGAAGGCCTGTGATGATGAAATGCTTTTGATATACTAATTAAAAGTTTAGAAATTTACAGTAAATTTCAGCTATAGTTTTATTGACAGAATTTTTTAAAACTTAATGTTGTCATTTGCTTTCAGATAGAAATGAGATACCCCAGTCTGGAAAGGGTGTTATGAACTTCTTTTTTTTTAAACTAAATAAGCATTTGTGAAAACAGACTTACTGGTAGATAAAAATATTTTGACATTGTGTCATTACATAAATTCTTATAAATATTTATAGATTCTGCTATTAACTCCAACGTTACCTATAGTATTATTATTACATGTTTTTGTTTTTCCTCAAATAGAAAACATTCCATATTTCTACGTCACTTTCACAAATTAGTTTAATTCATTATGGTGAGTGAACAAATGTTCATTGTGTTAAAAAAGCATCCGAAGCCTAATTCTGTTAATTCTTAAAATATCTACAGACATCTAGAAGAAAAATGGAATGAAACTGCAGATAAAAAAAGAACTTTAAAAATAATATGTAATTCTAATAACGTAAGGATCAAAGAAACCTCAGCTATCAAGAAACTCAAACTAATGTTGAATTCTAGTTCAACAGTAATTGATATCCTACTGAAAATTAACAGTCAGTAATTTTTGAAGTTTTTTGTTTTTTAGCAAATTCTAAATTAAAATTGGGAAAAAGACTTATCAGTAGGGGTGAGGTAAATTTCATGTTACACCTATGAAACAGAATATACTTTGTCTAGTGTAAAAAAAATTAACCAAAAAGGTTGGGAACACTTAACAGAAAAAATAAGAAATGATTGAGAAATATTAGTAATAAAATATAATTGAACAGGAAAAAATTGATTGTTTCAATAATTTTTTCATTCTGTTGTTTTAATGTAATTTGTGTTATCCTTTAGTAAGTCTCTTTTCTTAATTTGTTATTTTGAGTTTCAGTATTTGGTTTGTTTGTTTTTTGACCAAGTTTTATAAAACTTTGATGAGAAGCTCTAAGTATTCTTAAATTAAAGAAACTTAATTTTTATGGGTTATCAGATTATTTCTTGATCACCTCAAAAACTTTTTCATAATTCACTTATTAAGTTTATTTTTTCTATTGAAAAATTCTTAGGGAATAAAAGAAAGAAATTTACTTTATTAAAGATGTAATATTTACTTGATATACAAATGATTTTTACTTCTGAATATTTCATTGTTTTCATCAGAGAGGTTAGAAATAATAAAAGAAAAGAATACCAACTGTGCTTACTGTATTCCATCATGTGTACATGAAATCAAAACACTTGAAAGCTTAAGATATAATATGCCCTTTTTCAATCACAATTTTTTCTTTATTATTTATTGTCATTTCTTAGTCATACAGGGGAAAATGTAAAGAATGTAAATTTTTTTTGCACCATTAATTGTGTAACTTGTTTAAAATTATTTTATTAGTTAATTTTTAAGAATCTTTCTCAAAGTTTTATCTTTTTCAAATGGGTTTTGAGTATCTTCTTCGTTGACTTTTAAAAAAACATCTGAGCTATGCAAACTTATTCATTATTTTGAGTTATAAAAAATATTTTATTATTTACAGACTTTGGAGGTGATATCATTTTTTTTAGAATTGTGATAGCATTTTGAATTGTTGCAGATAACCCTTCTTCAAATAGAGATAACATTCCATTACATCATAAAGGAATGGTTTGAAGTATGTGATGCTAATATTAAATTGTTTATTACAGTTTTTATATTGTATGATATAATGTTTGAAAAATATAGATATGTCATCACAATGAAAATAATAGATTTTTCAAAAATTCAATGAGTGATTTTACTTTATAGAAAAAAGTTAGAGTATCAAACTAAATTACCTCATTATGACTTCTCATCAAGTTGAAATATCAAAATAAATAACCTAAACAACCATATTCAAGTTGAAATATTCAAAATATATAAAATAAATTACCTTCACCATCATATCAAGTTGAAATATCAAAATAAATTGCCTACCCTACTATATCAAGTTCAAATATTCAAAATGAATAATGTTCACTATCACAACAAGTTGAAATAATAAAATAAATAACATTCACTACCATATATAGCTGAAATATTCAAAATAATTAACCTTCACTATAATAGCAAGTTGAAATATTGAAAATAAATAACCATCCCCACCACATTTAGTTGAAATATCAAAATAATCCACACACCTATATTATAAGTTCAAATAATCAAAACAAATATCGTTCACAACCAAAGCAAGTTGAAATATCAAAATAAGTAGCCTTCATTACCATAGCAAGTTTAAATATTCAAAATAAATAATGCTTCCCTGCCACATGAAGCTCAAATATCAAAATAAATAACCATCTCTTCCACACCAAGATGAAATATAAAAATGAATAACCTTCACTACCATATTAAGCTGCAATATTCAAAATGAATAACCTTCACTACAATAGCAAGTTAATATATCAAAATAAATAGCATTCACTACCACAAGAAATTGTTATATCAACGTCCTTGACCTACATTACCACAGCAAGTTGAAATATCAAAATAAATAACCTACACCACCATAATAGTTGAACTATCAAAAGAACCTACACCACAATATCAACTTAAAATATCAAAATATGTAACCTTTATCAAAAGAACCAACATGATGTTAAAATATCCAAATAAATAACGTGCTTTACCATAGTAATTGAAATATCATAATAAATAACCTACACCACCATATGAATAGGACATATCAAAGAAAATATCCTACACTTCCACAGCAAGTTCAAAATGAATAATGTTCACTACCACATCAAGTTGAAATATCAAAA